ACCTAAGTGCCTAAGTGAGCTCATGAGTTCAAATAGCGTATCAAGCATTGGTGATGGCCTCATAATTATCTGCGATTCGTTTTAGTGTCGCCGATTGTCCGTTCAGTGAAATGCGTACAAGGTAAGCGTACATTTCTCGCATCACAATGTTACTGCAGTTTTCGGCTGATTTAGTGGGTTGCTTGTGAAGGTTAATTTGCAAGCGAATAATTACAGCACAGAATGCTGAGTTCGTGAGTTTACGGCATAATTTTATGGTTCATTTATGTACAGCTCGCTGGACTGAAAGGATACTCCAAGGGCCTGGTCGATGAAGTCAGGTAATTTGGGGCCAATTTCCTTGTGTGGCAATATTATGGATCACAAAACCCATATTCCGCAATGAAATTGCCAGGATATGTCTGTTTGGCTGAGCTGACATGCATGTGCACAAGGCAAAGCAGATGAGGGAGTAAAATTTTCCATAATTTGTAGCAAACATATTTGCTTTTGTGCTGACTGACACAACCATACCAACAAATATTTGTGGGTTTGGTAGAGGTCAATTATGAGCATGTGGACACACCGTGTCGCCGCCCTTCAAAGCCCCAAATTTCAGAAACTCTAGATAACAGGAGAAATGACGTAACTATGGCTAATGTTAATAACGCAGGAGGCTTAGCTCGAGCTCGAATAGATCGGAGAATGTATTGACGGCAGCGGAAATCTTTTGGAATTCAACGAAAACTGTGCACCGCAACCGGTTAATTAAACATGGTCTACAGAAAACAGAACGTTTTGTTAGTGTCACAGGTTTTAGTTTTGCTAGCTTGACCAGTTTCCAGCAATTTGCGCGAAAACGGCGTTCTCGGATTCAAATAAATCCTGAGAATTTGCGCATCATTGCATTGAAGCAGGCTCATGTTGGTGAAAAGCTCAAACGCAAAGATTACGGTTAGTAAATGTAACAATGTGGGTATTATCCTAAGCTGCGTGACTCAGTGAAGTGAGCTTACCTGTTGCTGATGTTGGAAGATTGGATAATAGTGAAAAAA